AACTGGGAAGCATCGTTTCAACTACAGGCCAGCGGAACTGACGAGGATATCAAAGCAAGGATCTGGAAGTCAAGACAAGCTTTCACTACTCTCAAGTCTGTGTGGAGGTCAACAGCACTACTCCGCATCAAAAATAAGATCCGGATTTTCAACTCTAATGTGAAGTCAGTCAGTGCAACTATGCGGATCAGAGACTTGGCGCGTCATAAGGAGCACCTCAAACAAACTACAGACGTTCATCAACAGTTGTCTTCGCTCAATACTCAAGATCAGATGGCCGGCCAGAAAAGATCAGCAACAGGGAGGGATCTCTGGGAGCGAACCAACCAGGAACCGATTGTGAAACAAATATGCAGGAAGAAATGGAGATGGATTGGCTGGCCATACTCTGAGGAAACCATCAAGTGACATCACTAGACAAGCCATTGCTCGAGTGGAACCCGAAAGGGAAGCGGAGAGTTGGTCGTCAGTGCGAGGGTGACTTGGAGGAGGTCATGTGAAGAGGAGATGAAAACGTGTGGGCAGACATGGAGCCAGGTGAAAACTCTAGCAGAGAACCGAACGCAATGGAGACGGGAAGCTGAAGCCCTATATTCCTCTAGGAATAAAAGGAAATAATAATAATAATAATGAAGATATTCACAATTTTGTTGATAAGAAGTGAACACATCCTCATAACTGTGAATGAAGTATAGTTGGGCTAATAAGAGATAGTTCATAACTTCCTAATAACTCTAGCCCACCATTTCCTTATTTTGATCGGAAAAGTACTTAATAACTTCATCAGTTCACCCTATGACCACCCTGAACAGTTTTGGAATCTTATCTGAATTTAACCATTGTCGCTGTTTTAGGAAGTTGCAGTACCTAAAAAATTTCCTAGTCGTATCAGTTAATAAAACTTCAAAACGTCATCGATCGACTTATGTTTCTTACTTAACATGGTGTGCCTGACAAGAGAGTACACGACGATATTTGCGATAAAAACCCTAATCTTTTCATATTCCCCTGTCTCACAGATGCAAAGTGAGATGTAAAGAACCACTTCTAAGTATACACACTCTTTAACAGGCAACTGGATATCACACCGACAAAAAAGGTCAGTGAAGTTTACGAATACTAAACGAGTCCATTCAATCAATTTAGTGGGGCTGGTTTAGCTTCCTAAATAATTAAAGTGGTCAGTACATTAGATCACTTCATTCTCTATCGTCACACTGGGAGTTAGTCTTTCTTTATTGAATTTTCGATGTTTGATTATAGCTTGATTCCACACCGTACTTTTGGTACAAGTATGGAATTTTCAGCATGTGATAGCGGTAGCCCAAATTTTGCAGGTCGACCAATTGATATCAGTTGTGCGTCGGTAGGGGATCAAACCCCGGACCATTTGCATGGTCGGCGAGAGTCCTAACCTCTGTGCCACCGTCACTTGTGTACTATCATCTTACATTTAACATGGATGAGCTGTATACCAACTGTACACATGTTTTATGAGGTGTCTAGAATTTTTCGCTTTTGTCAATGTCTTTAATTAAACAAAACTGTTGTTTGTATATTGTAAGTTAGCCAAATCAGTTTGTGAAGTGTTCAGGTAGAACCTGAATCAGTAATTCCATGATAAACCTAGAGCAAAAATGGTGACATTAGGGATCCCTAGTGAACACCAGTACTTGTCGACACTTCAGATGAGGATTCATCATAAACACAGCCAAATTAATCTCACTAGGGTGCTTTGAATAACATAGTGTAATTTCTGGGTACTCTTCTTACAACCAGTAATTGCCACAAAATTTCTGGAACAGAGCTCTACCTAGTGGCGTGAAGGTGTCACTTCACTCAGTCGATAATGAAATCGTTGAGGTGTGATTTCGATCAATGTACCGTCATCACAGATTCGCTCTCATTTCAATTTCTGGTTCCATACCAACAGATTGTGCTTCTTTGATTGGTTTCGGTTTTGAAACCACCTCTTTAACTTTAGCCGGAGTTGCTGGGTTGACATGCGTTTCTAATCGAGGCTGAGGCTGGATGTTGGGCATCTATAGTATAGTTATAGGCTAGCCAGATGTCCCAGATGTTTATCTTATGAGATTATTAGGGCTCTACCCTTTCGGAAATCTTTTTACCTACCACGGCTTTCCTGGGTCTCATCCTGCTAATAAGCCTTATCAGACGAGAGATGTTACCTAGTGTTATTGCTTTGACTTATGCTGTTGAGTGTTATTCGTAGTCAATACGATATCTAGCATTTAAGCAGCTTTCACCCTTGTCTTTTTTTCGGCATCCGCTCGAATTATTCTCCTTTTACTTAGTAGGTGGGATCAAATTAAGAAGATTCACTAGCCTTTAGTGTCCTTTGACTGCATGCTGTTGACTGTCTTTATGGCTATTTTTAAAACGAACCGAATATGATATTGGGCCTGTTTACCAGAAGTATTTTGTGTTCATTCCATAACAGGCAAGACATACACCTGCCAAAGTACGATGGGTATTGACCCAGGTATTCCGGAAGGGACAGGATTCTTACCCTGGTTCAGTCTACCCATGAATTATAGAAAAGCACTCTCTCTGTCTTATGAATTTGTCTAAATTTGTCGGCAACGATCAGGCAGTTAAAAGAGTCAGTGATCTTCGTGAAGAACAGTTCTGTTAGCAGTGGGATTTAGTAAAGCACAAATATTAAGAAAATATGAAATAGGTTGGTGATAAATAGAGGGGTTTCGCCTGTTGCTCACCTTGAGATTAAATATCTGATACGATTTGAGGCATGCATTCGGCGTTTGGTTTCAGGTTTATATCTCTAAAAAATATGAGTTTCCTTAAAACTACTGACAAAACCAACAGTTTGATCAAAAGCTTTTCGTCATTTTTCTCTGGAATCCTGACATTTCCAGAAGCATCCCTTTTGACTCAGACTATCCCTAATAAGGTCGATATTTAACGTCAGTCAGTATTTGTAGAACTTTGAAATTCATCTCTATATTATTTATTAGTATATTTTCTTAATGACTCCAAGCTGAAATATACTACAAGTACAATCAAATTATATAAGTATAGGAAATTTAATTGACTGTAAAATACTGATTAGAATTTTTTTATCAACATAATTACGGAAGAATCGTTTACTGTTTTTCAACTTTCACTACCATCAGTGGCACATTCAATTTCCTAAAGCCTGTTCATCATTCAATGAGAATCGGGCCAACCACGGAGTGCGAACGCACCAGTAACCTTGAGCGCACACTATTCGTTGGATTACAGGACCTATCCTTATTACCGAGCTAGTATGAACGCTGTGCACGAAGCGATGTGCAGATTTCAACCTGGTCTCATTTTTAAGTACTGTTTGGACAATGAGCTGATAGCACGTTAGGGTTAGGGTTGCATTTAGGGTTAAGGTAAGTATTGGAGTTAGGATAAGAATTAGGGTGTTTTGCTGTTATTATTATTATCTGTATTTTTCTTGTAACCAAATAGATTGGAGGAGTGTTTCGTTGTTCAGATAGATGAAACCACTTTGTTGGTTATGAAAGTTGAGAACTGATACCCTTAATTTTAATTGAGAAGTATTTTTCAGGTACGTGACGGTAAAATGTCGTCTTTAATGTGTCTCACTACTAATACGTTAATTTTTCTGGTAAATAAACAGATTTTTGTTGTATAATACACGGCATGTTCTGTAATCTAGCGGATGGTATGGGTGCTCCGTTGTCGGTATCTTTTATTTTTGATGAAGATCAAATGTAAAGGGTAGCCTCTTGTGTCATTTATTTAAGAGTAGCGTTTACTTGTTTGTTTCACTTCAAGAAGTTTATCAATTATGGATTTCATTACCTGCCGTCAAAAAGTTAATGACATTCGAAGAATCCATTTGTCTAAAACAGATCAGTCAATTGCGTGAGCTAAATAACAGTAAATTACAGACAGAAAGAGAAATGTTAAAGGAGTACAATATATCTGTATCTGAAATAACTGAGTTATAGGTTTACCATCAGATTTTTGTTACAGATAGAACAAAATTTGAAATATTCAAATGTCAGTCAACGTTTGCTGCTTCCTTTTATTATTAACTGAAACATTAAAGACATTTTTATATATTACACTAAAACATCAGGAAATTCGTCCATCTAAATTAATTTTATAACTATAATCCGAAATGTTTCTTCACTTTTTCCTCACTCACCGAGCATTACAAATGGCAGAAGCTGAAGTATGGGAAATTCAACCACTGCAATCTTCTGAAAAAATCCCAAATTAATCTGTTTATCCTTTTATGTGAAATGAAATATACAGAGTGTAAGGTAACGAGATAGAGCATATCTTCATATCATACCATTCAATTCGATACAGTATACGTAGTAATAGAGTATCGGCTGTTACATAATCTTATAAAGACAATTTATTACCTTCTAATTGTATTAGCTGGCACTGAAAACAAAACCTTATAACATTCAGGTAAATTAGACTACGGACATTTCAGTATGTTAGTAGTGAAAAAAAAGATTGGATCATGATGGACGGGGATAACCGACCAGAAGTATCTTTAACATCAAAACCGATCAATTCTAATGTGTATGCAAAAAACAGACGTATACATTACACCCGCTGGTTCACAACTGTAACTTGCTGCCATTAAACTCATTGCAGTTACCTGTTAAGTTCTGATAACAGCAGTATTGCCATTGCTGTCATCACTATTCTTATTGGTTTGAGAGCACTTAAAATGCATCTCATATTTTTATATTAAATTGACACCTTTTAGTACACAGTATTTTTTAATACATTTATGTTTATAACATTTAAGGTATCTACACTCAGAGTAATTTAACCGTAATATTTTAAATATCAAAAATTTTTCTTAAGTTAAAATGTATTTCTTTTCACATTTCTTTCTTTCTTTGTCAAAGAGAAGATTGATCATTTTCAGGTACAATTTCAGTTTTATTTGTCTGTATGAGTATGTCCTCGTTAGATTTTTAATAAGCAGAATATATAAATATTTCTTTACTTAAGAGTATTTCTTTTTTAAATATCTTAAATAACAGATAGAAATGAATGCATAAGATAATTCAGAATGAAAAATTAAAACAACAGAAAAAAAGCTGCGAAATATATCTGTACATTGACCTTCATCAATGTGTTGTTGGGTAAAATGGATTTTTTCTTAAATAAACGATAACATATTTAGGCGTACGAGAATTCAGTAGTTTAATATTGTAGGCTATAGATACTAGAGACGAAAAAAATAATAAAATTTTCAAAGGAAAAATGAGGACTATAAACTTCATTTTATTCATACATGAAGTATTTCAAATAAGTTTATTGTATCTTATCTTTAGTAGTATGTTGATTGATTATTGCTAGGAGTAATTATGTAATTAATATTGAAAAGAATGTTTATACTTGTTCACCTTCTTCCTCTTCTTCAAATTCACCTTCTTCTTCAGCTGTAGCGTCTTGATATTGCTGATATTCACTAACTAAATCATTCATATTTGATTCAGCTTCAGTGAATTCCATTTCATCCATTCCTTCACCAGTATACCAATGTAAGAAAGCTTTTCTACGAAACATTGCAGTGAACTGTTCTGACACACGTTTAAATAATTCTTGTATAGCAGTACTGTTACCAATAAATGTAACAGACATTTTTAAACCTCTTGGAGGTATGTCACAAACAGCTGTTTTAACATTATTAGGTATCCATTCGACGAAATAACTAGAATTTTTATTTTGTACATTTAACATTTGTTCATCCACTTCTTTCATTGACATACGACCACGGAACATAGCTGCAACAGTTAAATATCGACCGTGTCGTGGATCACACGCTGCCATCATATTTTTTGCATCAAACATTTGTTGAGTTAATTCAGGTACTGTAAGTGCACGATATTGTTGACTACCACGACTTGTTAGTGGTGCGAAACCTGGAATAAAGAAGTGCAACCTTGGAAAAGGTACCATATTAACTGCTAATTTCCTTAAATCTGCATTTAATTGACCAGGAAATCTGAGACATGTTGTTACACCAGACATTGTTGCGCTGACCAAATGATTTAAATCTCCATACGTTGGTGTTGTAAGTTTAAGTGTACGGAAACAAATATCATACAGAGCTTCATTGTCAATACAATATGTTTCATCTGTATTTTCAACCAGCTGGTGGACTGAAAGAGTAGCATTATATGGTTCTACAACAGTATCAGACACCTAAATATCATTTAGTTGAATACAATATTATAAGACCTACCTTTGGAGATGGAACAACAGAAAATGTACTCATTATTCGATCGGGATATTCTTCTCGGATCTTTGATATTAATAAAGTACCCATTCCAGAACCAGTTCCTCCACCAAGTGAATGAGTTAACTGAAAACCTTGTAAACAATCGCAGGATTCAGCTTCTTTTCGTACGACATCCAATACAGAATCAACAAGTTCAGCCCCTTCAGTATAATGACCCTTGGCCCAGTTGTTACCCGCACCACTTTGACCAAATACAAAGTTGTCTGGTCTAAACAACTGACCAAATGGACCAGCTCTGACACTGTCCATGGTACCAGGTTCTAAATCTACCAGAATAGCTCGCGGAACATATTTTCCACCGGTCGCTTCGTTATAATAGACGTTAATTCTCTCCAGCTGCAGATCTGAATCACCATGGTATGTCCCAGTCGGATCGATTCCATGCTCGTCAGAGATTACTTCCCAAAACTAAAATGCAAGTGACATCATTGAAAACATGTACTGAGAATGTGATTGCGATATGTAAAAAATTAGAACATCAGTTAGCAATTAAAGTGCTGTGGATCCGGAAATTATTACCTGATAATTAACAGTGATTTCCTATGCATATAAACTTTGAATTTCATATTACTTCGTCTATTATCTATATCATATAGTGCGACAGTATTGTTTACTATATAACGTTTCGAAAATAGTTTTATTGTCCATGACCATATACAATACAACAATTAATCTTATTCGAAAAGTCACACAGTAAATAGTACTGTTTCACTGTAAAATCTATAGTATAAACATACTAATATGTAACTACACATCATTCACAATCAAAGGAAATAATAATAATCAAATGACCAACTGAGCGTCAGCACAAAGCTTTGCACAGAAATACAGCAATTCAAGTTCCTACACTTCATGTAAAGAAAAAAGATAAAAAAAAGAGATTTAAAAGAAACACGATTAAACAGAAGTGTGTGGGAGAAAGAATTGTAACATATAAGAACATGACGGTTCAGTAGATTTTGGAGGTGACATAGACTGAATACATTTGTGCTAGCCATTGAGAACGATTTGGAGTCATGTCACTAATTGTCTCCAGCCATTCGTTCTTAGGATCCCGAGGACCCCAACTAGGAAGCCTACACATCCCTACGTGGCTCAAACTGACTGTCAAGATTTTCATGGACTGAGTTTTGATCCAACCAACACTAGATCTAAGTATAAAACTTGGGCACTGTGGTAGAGTATAACTCCATTATGGATAAGATTTTATTTTGATAGATCACACCATGATACACAGTAATGTTAACTGATGACGTTTCGAGCACAAATTATTGCTCATAATCATATCAAGTCATTCACACAACTGTTTTGCTTCAGTTAATATTGCTGTACAACACTGCGTGATTTATCAAAATAAAATCTTATCCATAATGAAGCAGCACTAGATCTCCTCCAACCTGATCCTGTGTCAGCCTACATCAACTGACTTACCCTCCTTACCTTAAAGCCAGAGTTGAAAAACACCAATTAAATGTACAGCTGCAAATTTCCGTTCATTAAGATTTGAAATCAAATATTATTTGGTTGTGTGAAAAACCTAAAAAAAGTAGTACTCCAGTTTATGTGAATAATCAATGTCTCAAGGGCTAGTTTCAATTTTCTAAGTTTTGACTAGTAATGGTCTGTTTCTCCTGATGAAATCTGTAAACTCAGCTGAAAATTTGGAATATAACTCATGGTCACACATAAATAGCCGATGATCATGGTTCAGGAAGCTTGTAATTTACGTTCAACCACGAACTTAACATTTATACTTCTTTTTGTGTTTTCACTGTACAGATAACATATCTGGTTTATTACAATAAAGTGAAAAAAATCGAGCTCAAGCCCCTCGTTCTTTTCTAGTCTATGGTTGAAAGCGATCTAACGAAGGTGGTAAATACTAAAGACTTAATGATATTCAAGTGAGAACTCAAGGAAACGTAGTTTTTATGTGCTATGGTCTCTTGTTCAACACAAATGTAACACAAAATCCACTGTTCATGAGTCATTTAATCATGTTAAGAAAATTCACCGACTTGCGCAGTATATCAATGCGTTTTTTGTTTTCAGATAAGACAACCAGACCAAGATAAAGTAGCTACTCATGAACTTTGTACTCCACCTAATATCCCTTTTATTCTTCTGAAGTATTTTATGTAATATTATGAAGTCAACGAAATGAATCAATCCAATTTAAGGGGATATTTAGAAAATTATACAAACTAATACTTGAAAATTCTTTCCATTGGCTTTAGGCAATCCAATAGTGGTAAAAATGTGTGAATGATAAAATTTTTCTGTGAAAATTTTCTAAAACAAGTGTTGGAATCAGGCAAAGCAGGCAAACTAGTATATCATCATTTCATGCCCAATGTATGTGTGAAGAAGTTAATTCATTCTCTAATATCAATAATAGCTTTCTGAAGTTTAACGATAATAAAAACCAAGAGTTTTAAATAAAAATGAATAAGTTTTGAGAAGAGTATGAATAGATACAATGTAAAGCAGAGTTTATTTATCGAAAATAATCTCACTCTGTGAACATTTAATTTAAATTATACATAGTTTATATTAACTAAATTTTACACGATTACATTATTTAAGAACAAATTCAGTATGAAATGAAATCCTATGAATAATCTTTAAAGTTCATCAGTTTTTCCTTCCCCTTTTCGTAATTGTGAACTGTTTGTTTTATTTAAATCACACCTTAAATGATGATATTTTGCCATAATAAATCCTAGAGCTAACTTGTGGCAGTAAGCACTAGTAAATGTTAAAATTATTTGATCATAATTGCGATTTCTTGTTGAAGATTTGAAACTTAATGATTAACCTTATTTCATAGTATAGGTCGCTTGAATGGATTTCTCGATAATGCCATGATTACTAAAATGAAGTTATTTGTTTTGGTGGTAGATGGCAGTGGAATCTGGGATGAGTGTTTCGTTATGTTCATGATTCGTCAGCTGCATGAACTTACCATGAACACAGTATGTCTATCATTACTCTAAATTAGATAACACAGTTTATGTTGACTTCAGTAATTATCATAATTTAAAGCACTATAATTATTTTGTAGCAGATTACTATACCTAGCCTTATGCACATTGCAATTTCAGTTTAATCAAATGATTTCATTTAATGTCATTTCTTCAAATGAATGCGATATTTCATAACCAATTGATAAAGCAAATGCTGAATACTTTCCTTTTTTCCTTAACGATATGAGAGACTTTTACCTCTCATTTAATACTGGTATATAAGTACATTGTGTAAAAAAGGGTGAAAGACAGGCCAGCGTGGATGAATCATTGAAACACTTACATAGTTCATTTAATTTTTTCATGTCATATTGTGAGAGCTTTTTTGAGATTTAATTTTTTGTTACATTGTACAGAAGGTTAGCTGTTCGTCAATCTCATCAGTCACAATTGTAATCAACATTAGGCTTATAACTTTTACTTTTCAACAATGAAAATATTAAATGCTTTGAGATATATTTTTAGCTGGAACTTTTTAACAGGCCCTAATGATCGTTTTCTCTTTCCGTATAAACAGAACACTGAAACTGCAAAGTTGTTTTGTGAGTAGTTAGACACCTTTTTAGGGTACAAAAATATTTAGCATGTTTCTAAAGAAGCTAGCTGAAATAAATACATTTAATTGTAAATAAGGATAGTTAATAGTTAATATATGTTTATGTTAAAGACATAAAACAATGAGACCACAGGTGTTGTTGAAAAGGTTAAACATAGTGTGAAATACTTGTATTTGCACCCCACTCCCATCCCCATTTAGACCAACCATGAAAATAAAGGTGTATTCACGATGACTTCTGGGTTTACTTTTTGGAAGTGATTCCCTCTTTGAATATTTTTAAAGCCTGCTTTCCTTTTATGTTTCCATGATACTGCTACATATTTATGAGTGTAACACTCCTTGGTATGTATGTTGTAATGAGTCTGTATTGAAACAAATTGGGTGATGATAACATCGACTACATATCTAATAAACTTATTACAGTAATAATTAATTGAAGCTGTAAAAATAGGAGTTAACTGGAATGTAGTGTAATGAATAATACTCTTGCTGCATTTGTTGTAGTGTATCAGAGAAACAAAACCACCTTACAACCAAATGCCTTATATTGGTGTCTCAATAACCAGTTTTCATACATAGATATTTAGTAGGTGGTAAAAGGGAAAGATTAAAACGAATGGCAAATAAAGTGATATTACTATAAGAGGAAAATAATTTATACTTACGTCTTTGAAAATAGGACTGGGTTTTTTTATATAACTTAGAATCGTTCAGCACAGGTTTTGGTTTACATGAGGACTTCAACCTGAAGCTATATGTTTTTACTCAATGGCTCAACCAAATTGCCAGTCGCTTCTTGAACTGGTGGCTCGTTCCTACCTAGCCATCTCTGGCTTTGTTCTAAGCTGACTGAGATTCCCCTAACTCAGTCTTGTGACAAATACATATTCTAGTCGGGTCAGAAATCATTTACAATCGGATTGGACTGATTTATCTATAATACGTATTTGTAAACGGTGGTGGTAGTATGCGATTAGTTTACTCTGTTATCTTAACATTCTATTCAGGTAGCTTACATTGTCTGTAAAGCTCCTTACCACAGCCACTGATTTCACTAATTAGTACGCCAGTAAGTCTCCTGAGCTACAAAATTTCTGCATCATATTTTATGCTTAACATTAACATCACCGCTTGTTTCAGGAGGCAGTGACTTAGCAAGTTAAAAAATATTTTTTAGTTGATTTAGTCAATGAGGACAAATGATCTTTTGAACAAATGAGTTTCATACTTAAGATCTTACTTCTACCACATAACTGAAAGCTCTAACCACTTAAATGAGAAAAATGTCTGTTGTTCAGAATGTTTTATAAATGTTAAGTTCCATTCATTTCCTAAAGTAAGCAATACATTCGTATTAAGTCATGGCTTCAAAGCATTATTGTGGAAATATGAAGTTATTTGGTTTGTTATTATGCCATCCAAATAAAAGTGATTAAAAATTAAGAACAATCTGAGCACCATAGTTCTTACCTATTTGAACACTACCGTAAATATCTATTAGAAGCTACTGACGTTTAAATTACGATGCGTTCAATTCTATCGTAAGAGATTGTTGAAATAGTCATTTTTGTACAAACGGTGCTCTATGTAATCTCTGAGAAATTAAAGAAGGGTATGGTCATCGCTTTAAGTTCATTATTTACATCGTTTTTATTTACAAATGTCTCTGCTGCAGTTAAACTAGAAGTTTAGTTATTAAAAATGGACAAAAATTTAAATTAGAACCGTGTTTACAATGACTGGGGAGTACATCGTTTATTCAAACAGGTGAAAAATCTGACATTTGAAAGAATTGGTAATAAATGGTTGACAGGCACAGCTAGGACACTTATAAGCTTCTAACAAGTGAGAAGAATAAAAATCATTGAACCGATTCCTCAGTATACTGTAGTCTGTTTCCCACTTTCAAATAAGTCACTGAATTTATAGTTTCCTAGATACGTAACCAAAGATATATATATGCTGCTGGAAAAGCGGCAGGGCCACATGGAATCCCAGCAGAAGCATTGAAAATGGACCCAGAGACAACAACGGACTTGATGACGCCACTACTGGAGAAGGTGTGGAAAGAGGGCAAGGTACCCGAGGATTGGAAGAAAGGATACTTATTCAAACTAACAAAGAAAGGAGACTTAAGTCAATGCAAGAACTGGCGCGGAATTATGCTCCTGTCCATCCCAAGCAAAGTGCTAAGCAGCATCATCCTGCAGAGAATCAAACACGCCCACCTGGATGAAAAATTTCGACCGGAACAAGCTGCATTCAGGAGAAACAAGTCATGCATTGATCAGATCGCCACATTACGGATCATCATTGGACGGACAAAGCTTGGTATGGCAGTCACCTCTCTATCTCAACTTCATCGACTTTGAAAAGGCCGTCAGCAGACAGCGTCGATCGATAGGTGATTTGGCAACTACTTCGCTACTATGGGGTGCCACCGACAATTATACATCTCATCCAACAGCTGTACGACAATGCTGCATTCCAAGTAATCCACAACGGGAAACTTACGGAATACTTCGAAGTGAGGACAGGAGTAAGATAAGGCTGCCTATTATCTCCAATGATTTTTCTGAGTGCAGTAGACTGGATAATGCGACAGACAGCGGGCGGTCGGTCGGTTTTCGACATAGAACTTTGCACAGATGTGCGGCAGTTCAAGTCGCCACACTCCGTGTAGCACACAAGCAAGAGAAGAAAGTAGAAGAAATGCATAATATAGACAGTAAACAGAGGTGTGAGACAAAGGAATAGTAATAACGGAGAACGAAACAGTTTAATTGGAAATCATAAGTCACAAGGAGTGGATGCATTTGCGCCACTGAGAACGATTTTGAGCCATGTCACCAGACAGCGGGCAATGAGGAAACAGGCATAAAATGGACTGACACAAAAAACTTGGAGGATCTGGACTTCGCCGATGATATATGTCTGATTTCCCACAAACTGGAAGATATGCAAGCGAAAAGCAACAAGTTGGCAGAAGAAGCATCCGGAGAAGATAGGACTTCAGGTGAAAATAGAGAAAACAGAGGTGATGAAGATTCCTGGACAAGAACAACAACAACAGACAACAATCAGCATAAATGGGAGGAACCTGAAGGAAACAACCTCCTTTACCTACCCACCCAACTGGGAAGCATCGTTTCAACTACAGGCCAGCGGAACTGACGAGGATATCAAAGCAAGGATCTGGAAGTCAAGACAAGCTTTCACTACTCTCAAGTCTGTGTGGAGGTCAACAGCACTACTCCGCATCAAAAATAAGATCCGGATTTTCAACTCTAATGTGAAGTCAGTCAGTGCAACTATGCGGATCAGAGACTTGGCGCGTCATAAGGAGCACCTCAAACAAACTACAGACGTTCATCAACAGTTGTCTTCGCTCAATACTCAAGATCAGATGGCCGGCCAGAAAAGATCAGCAACAGGGAGGGATCTCTGGGAGTGAACCAACCAGGAACCAATTGTGAAACAAATATGCAGGAAGAAATGGAGATGGATTAGCCATACTCTGAGGAAACCATCAAGTGACATCACTAGACAAGCCATTGCTCGAGTGGAACCCGAAAGGGAAGCGGAGAGTTGGTCGTCAGTGCGAGGGTGACTTGGAGGTCATGTGAAGAGGAGATGAAAACGTGTGGGCAGACATGGAGCCAGGTGAAAACTCTAGCAGAGAACCGAACACAATGTAGACGCACGGCTGAAGCCCTATGTTACTCTAGGAATTAAAGGATACAATAATAATATATGAAATCACACTCATATGATAATTACTATGATAAATGAAGACAAAAGAAATAAATAATTACCTTTGCACCAATCTGATTCCCACATTGTCCAGCTTGTAAATGTACAATTTCACGCATCTTACTTCAGTTGTTGAATAACACAAGCTGTTCTTTACGTGTAGATTATACTGGTATATTATAATTTAAACTATTCGATTATTATTGTTGTTTCTTATTTGCTGTTGTATTGAGTGTCAGTATGACAACGAAATTAATCGATTCTTCAAAATAATTTATAGTATTGATTAAAATTGATTAGTCTTAAACCAATACATCTAATTATAACTTTTATGTAGATGCTACTGAATTATTTAATTATTAGTAAGTGGTTTATGAATTCACTAAAAAAAGAGTTTAAGAAAATTATTTCATACAAATCATGTTGGAAATCGAAAGTAAATGCTTGTAAAAATAGACACAAAGTGATTCATATGATTAATATCTAAGAATGAATTGTTTAATAATTAATAATTAATTATTCCCATATGTTCCGAGTGAAACATAGGGCTTCAACAACACATCTCCACTTTGTTCTAATTTCTGCCGTCCTCTTCAGCTGGGTCCACGATTGATCAAAATCTATCATCTTTTCCTCATACGATCTCCTCCATGTCACCCTCGCACTGACGACCCACACATCGCTTCCTACCCACTTGGCGTGTGATGTCATTCGGTGGCCTCCTCAATGCATGCCCGATCCATCTCCACTTTCTCCTACATATTTGTTGAGCGATTGGCTCTTGATTGGTTTGTTCCCATAGTTTCTCGTTGCATATTCTTTCTGACCAGCCATTTGATCTTCACTATGGAGCAGGTGAAGTTGGTGAAAGTCTGAGACCTGTTGGAAATCCTTTCCGTGACACTCAGTGCAAGGTTCTGACCCGTATAGGAGGACCGACTTGACATTGGTGTTGAAGATTAGAATCTTGTTCCTTACGTTGAGTGCAGATTTCCAAACTGGTTTCAGGTTGATGCAGGTGTACCTTGCCTTTCGAATTCCGAATTTGACATCTTCGTCTTGACAGCTGAAACTATGCTGCCTAGGTAAGTGAAGGAAGTAACTGCTTGCAAATTACTCCCGTTGATGGTGATTGGTACTGGTTGTTGTTGCTGTTGGTTGGTTATCTTCATCACCCCGTCTTCTCTATGTTCATCTGAAGTCTTGTCTTCGCTATCTGCTTCTTCAGTCAGTTTGTTGGTTTTCGCCTGTAAGTCTTCAAGTTTGGGTGATATTAGACAAAAATCATCCGCGAAATGCAGATCTTCTTCAGTCTTCTTATCGGTCATTGCAGCGTATTCCTGTCTTATCACTCACCAAGCACAGTATGACACATAATCCAGTCCATTACAATTAGGAATATCATCGTGGGTGATAACGGGCAGCCTTGTTTTACTCCTGTGTTCACTTCAAACGTGTCACTGAGTTTTCCATTTTGGATCACCTGACACGTGAAGCTGATTAAGACTTGAAGTACACTTTAGTGTTGAATTAGTTTTCAAATTACTTCTCTGATAACGCTGTCTAAGGCCTTTCCAAAGTCAATGAAGTTGAGGTAGAGGCAAATTTGACTGCCATTCTATGCTTTGTTCCGTGATGATGATGCGTAGAGTTGCAATTTGATCAGCACATGATTTGCATTTCCTGAATCCAGTTTGTTCCGGGCAGAGCTATGTATCCAGTACATCCTTTATTCTCTCCAGGATGATGCAACTTAGTAATTTACTTGGCGTGGACAAGAGCATTATTCCACACCAGTCCTTGCACAGGCCTAAGTCGCTCTTCTTCGGCAGTTTGACGAGGTAGCCCTTCTTCCAATCAGTAGACACCTTTCCTTTGAAAACTTTTTGCAGTAGTGGAGTAAGAACATCTGCCGTAAGCTCTGGGGCGGTCTTCAGTGCTTCGGGACGAATGCCGTCTGGTCCTGCTGCCTTCCTGGACTTCATTTGCTTGATTGCATTCAGGATTTGTTCTTTAGTTGGAGGAGTGGTGTCCACTGGGAGTTCCGTGTGTGCTGTTGGTAGTACTTCTGGGCGAGTTGCAGGTGGTGGTCGATTCAAAAGTTCTTTAAAGTGATCAGTCCATTGTTTGATTTGTTTTTCTTCCTTGGTAATCAGGTTCCCTTGAGCATCTTTTATTTTTTTCATCATCTGGGTAGATCTCTTTCCTGGTAGACACCTAGTTATCTCATATAATGTCCTGAGGTGTCTTTTACCTGCGGCCTGCCTGTTCTGTTCCAGTTGCCAGCCAGTGTGTCGTAGAATTGTCTTTTGTCTTTACTTGCACTCTTATTCACTTCTTTATTCTGTTATCCGTCTTTGCATTGAGTTATCTTCTCCTTCACCATCCTCCTCTCCTCGATTAGCTGCCAGGTAGGTGTCCGTTGGCAGCCATTCCTTGTCCTGTCTCTTCCTTCTTACTAGAACAGTTGTACACGTTTCCTTGAATATCATCTTCAGAGAGTTGGTTCCAATGTCTTTCTACACAGGTCTCAGTGATACCATGTAGTGTGTCCGACTTTGCTCTGATCAGATCTGTATCAAAGGCATCCCTTGAAGTTTTGTCCTTCAGTTTCTGAATTTTGAACTTGAATTGTGGTCTGTCTCAATTTGTTTTCATTGATTTCAGCCTCACATTGAATGTTCCTCAAACTGGATAATAGTCTTAGCTCATATCTGTTCCCCTTCTCGATTTTGTATCCAGCAGGCTAGCTGCGTCTCCACTTCCTTGAGATAGAAATGAAATCTATTTGGTCAGGCGAAATCTATGTTGCTTTGTGTATATCCGTGTGTTTGTACACGCTCCCTCCGATCACCAAATAGTTGAAAGAGCAGAAGTCTGCGAATAATTCTCCGTCATCATTCATTTCTCCGAGAGCCTCTCGACCCATGATGAGTTCTCTTCCTGTATTATCTGCTTGCATTCATATCCTCCATGAGGGTTTTGATGTCACCCTTTGGGATGTTGTCCATTACCGTTTGTAGTTGTCTGTAAAAATCTCCCTTCTTGTCTTGTACCGTGTTGTTTGGGGCACTGTGCGTAGCATTGAACAATTGTGATCTTCCCTCCTGCCTTTTGAGTTGAATCCTGATGTCATGATCCTGGATGAGGCGATTGGTTCCTACTGCATTAGGTCTCTGTCTGCCTCTGGTGGCACCACTACAGCCACTCCCTCAGTGTGTTCGTACTTGTCTTCAGGATGATTGGAGTAAATTATTGACTCTCCAGTTGACAATGTTGTCAATCCACATCCATTCCATCTGCTCTCGCGGATACCCAGCACTTCCAGGCCATATATTCACATTTCTTTGGCTACCTGGGTAGCCTTTCCAGTCAATCTCGTACATTGTACGGACATTCCACATACCCATTCTTATTCTTGATTTCATCGAGAGAGAGAGAAGACACATCGGCTGTCTGACTGGCTTCCCGAAGACTTTCACCAGCCCGCGTCATTTTGCCTCTCCGATTCGAGTGAAGAATACGATTGTTATTATTCAGAGTTTTTGTATTTCTGATATATTTTCTGTGCGCTGAAGTTTCTCTAAAGGTTTGAAAGATCTAGTAGTGTAGGGTTGTTAGCTCCACGTCCAACCCTTCCTCTTTACCTGGGCTTGGGACTGGCTAGAAAAATAGCAAGCTGGTTAACCAGGCGAGGTTTCCAAGTGTTGTGTGCATGAGACCATTATCAAACCATAAGTGTGTTATTGAAACATATATAATATCCAGTCTCTATGCTGACTTCGTAACAGTTGCAACTGATTGAAGAAATCTGAACTTTGGTTTTTTGTCTACAGCAATTGTTTATTTCAGTAATAGCATAGACAGCCAGTTATCTCTTACAGTTTTAGTAGGTACATGCAAATGTTTTAAAGTCTCAGCGACAATTATTTTTTCCTTACACCGATGCTATTTAGTATTCCATCCATTTTTCACAAAATGTAATACCTTATCTTCCAATTTTTCCAAAAACATCCGACAGTAATTGTAGTAATTGAAATCTGGCTAACATCCGATACATCAAACACAAAAGATGTTACCGATAAGCACAAGATTCTTAGAAATGATATAATATACAAAGGGTATGTCTCATATATGCCTCTACCTGCTTCAGAGTCCAACTTGCTAACAGAGATCATAACATATTACTTTGCATTCTGCAACCCCCGATACTACTAAGTTGACATAAAAACGAACCTCAGAGTATCCCAGTAGTAAAGTCTTGACAAATCAATAGCCTACATGTTCAGCGGCATTCAACAATGGGTGTTGACCTTCTTTAAATCAGTTGACTGGTTACGTTGAAGGTATACCACATATTTTTGGTCACGAAACCATGCGATTTAGCACGTTTTTATATTACTTTCACTTGTTAGTGTATATCAGTCGTTTGTACCACATAATACGCAGTGATAATTTTATTAATCGCGAATGTGTTCATCCTCTTTACATTATCAACGAAAATGAATCAGTGAGCCATTGAAGTCACCACATACTGATTCATTCAGATTATTGTTACTATCATGTTTTAGATAAACCTACACATGTCATCAGTTCATTCCTGCTTATGAAAACATCTTTTCAACCAGTGGGATAAAGAAAGAGAAATTCTGCCTACAAAAATATATTTCACTCATCTAGTTGTTTTTTATTGAATTCTGTTTATCACCCAACAAAAATATGCCTCTTTTCTTTTGCTTAGTGATATGATAGTGAGTAAAAGTGGATTTTATATGTATCTAGTCAATCAGTGATCAGTTAAATAATGGAAGTTCATGTATAAGTCGATTTATTCTCACTAAGAGAATAAACCCATTTGGCTAAATAAAATGTGGTAAAGAGAAAACCTTGGAGAAATAATAAAAGCCTTAGGTATGTTGATTAAATGTGGATTTGGGGGTAACTGGAATTAGCTTAGTGAATCTTACATAACGTCAAAGGCATTCATGATGACACAGTTTTTTACTGTATTGCTGCATTATATTCCTAAAGAAGTAAAATACCGACACCCTTAATTAGTCATTATAGCCTTTGAACTGATTGCACTGAATTTAAACAAATTTTATATTTATATATATAACTAAGGTATTTTGTTACAATTAACTAATTTCATATTAGTATTTGTCAGAAGTCAACGTTCTCTGGATAATTGTTGCATGACTTTTTCCTGTTTTTCCAGTGGTGTACACACA